CCCTGAACATATATTTCAAATTTTACCCCAGAAAACCCAGAGAGAGTCAGTGTGGGTAGTAACAGTTGCGTGTGTTTTTTTCTCTGTTTGAGTCATGGCCTGTGCTTTTTGTGGTATATGGAAACTTGCTGAATGTTTTCACACTTCGTTGTGAAAATAAAATGAAAGACTATAGTTATCAGAAAGTATAAGTCTCATTCTTGGTCAAGTATTAAAAAAAAAAGAAAAATAGCCACAAATAAAACATGAAACATACAGCCAAGAGTCCGCATTTCTTATGGATCGCTCATGTCATGGGGACTAGCATGATTTTAAATTTGAGCTCACAGGAACTCAAACACATAAATAGTATCAAAAAAGATTGGCTCAAATCCAAATGGCAAGAAATTATTGAAAAGAAAGTCCCAATTCCCGTGTGAAAAGGTGTGCTATGGCTGCGAGGTCTCTGGCAATGTAAACACTCAATCCCGATGTCTCATCGGATGGTCAAGCTTTTGTTTAGCCCCGAGAGCTCCACAAGAAGGAGCCCCAAAGATCCAGTGACGGAACCGGAAGTTTAACTGTTCATACCACCAAACAGACATACCCATCAGTGGGGATTAGGGCGAGCGCTGACAGCCCCACTCCTGGGTGACTAACAGACACTTGAAAATGAGCAGCATAAAAACGAACAGGCTCAGTGCAAGCACTTTTTAAAAGCTTTGCTTCCCTCAAGTTTCTGTTTGAAATGAGTTGCCCCTACCCGATAGTGGATTTTCAAAGGAAAAATGAGTCATCTCAGAAATGCTGTCAATTTTGCTTTTATGAGGTTTGGCAAAGGACGTTCTATTTTCTCCATATTGTATGAGATCTCAAAATAGATTCAGGAATTTCCCTCCTGGAGTGAGCATTGTAACTGGGAAGGACTTTCACCCCTAGCGGGCTCTCGCCTACACCGTGTGCACCCTGCTCATTGTGGCCACCACCAGCCTACCCCCCATTCTGGGGCACAGTATGGAACTCTGGGAGGTTTCTGGGGAGACATGGGGGGCAAAGCCTTCCCCTCACCCCAGTCGGGATGGCATGGGGAGACGCGGCCCTGAAGGTCGGGACAGCACCTCCTCGCCTTTCTCCGCTCGTGTGAGACACAACACTCCAAAAGGCTGATGCACGTGGGAAGGTCCTGGGTCCAGTCCCGGAGACCTCTCTCCATGCATAGGGCATGTCTGTGCCCATGACTGGCTTGGGGCCAGGGTGAGCTGAGACAAAACCTCATGGGGGTTCATCTCTCTGTCTTCCTTGCTCACGGGGAAAAAATAAGTGAATAATAATAATAATAAAGACAGAGACCCTCTCCTTCTTTTGTGCCCTTCCCTGGACGACCTGGTCAGTCCCCACTGACTCCGCGTCCTGTCCCAGCTGTGACTTCTGTTTCCCCACAGCTCTGGGGACACGCCGCCCCCGAGAGCCAGCCTCGGTGCTCCGGGGGTCTTGTCACCTCGTCCCTACCCCGACACCTGTTTGCTGTTCGGGAAGCAGCACCACCTTCACCAAGCAAAGCCTGCACTTCGCTCTCACAGGCGTTCTTCTGCAGGGCTGATTCCACCTCTTGCACACACCTCAAGCCCTTCCAGCAGTTTCCATTCCGGCTGCCCTTGCAGGTCAGGCCCGTGAGCGCACCTATACTTCCTGCCTGGGCCCCCCTCCTGCGATCAGCCTCTCCGAAGTTCCCACACTGCACTCAGCCATCAGCTGCCACTCGGAGAGTTTAGGAACATCCCAATAGACGTCTTTGTTTAAGCTGCTCAGCACCAGGTTCTCGCTTACAGCCGGCACTCACGGGGGCTGCACTTCATTTCCGGGAGCCTGGAGAGGCTTTTCTGCCAGGAGGCCCAGACCTGGGGAGGTAGGGATGGGCAGGGGCTGCGTTTCAAGATGAAGGCGTTCGTGACTTAGAGGAGTCGAGTTCAATAGCAAGAAAGGAAGACACTACATTGGAGCAGGTCAGGGACGGAAAGCCAGCCAGACAAAGAGGGTGCGAGCACGGGCCAGCGTGAAGAGTTCGAAACCCTCTAATTCCAGTATGGCCGAGATGTGAGTATGAGAGGAGGGTACGGAGCAGGGGAGAGGGCCACAGGGGCCGGGCTGAAGAGGCAGCACGTAGCACCAAATGTGTTGAGAAGGGAGGTCCAAGAGCCGAGAGGGAGTTTGTCTCTCTTCACGCATCAGGAGAAAAAGTAATACGTGCTCACTCATGGGTGTCATCCATCCCCCCCACTCTCCGGTATCCTCTGTACCCCCACCACCGCTCACTCACGGGTACCATCGGCACCCCGCTCTCACCCACCCGCCACTCTGTGTACCCCCCACTGCACACTTGCTGGCGGTCATCTCTACACCACCACCCCGAGACAAGCCACAGTCCACCAGGAGATGACCCTGCAGGTGCCCGCCTCAAGATGGCCTGTTTTCCCACTCCAATGCCAATCTGCAGAGCAGGTGGAATGCTGGGACAGGAGGCCCCCGAAAGCCATGGCTCCGGTTGGTTATTCAATGCCTGTTTGGGAACCAACTGGATTGAGCAATAGCAGGCCTGAGCCCAGGTGAGAGCCGTCTCCCAAAGGTTGCACCTTTGCACCATCTGTGTCACGGTCTCTCTGATAACACCAAGCCTGCTCTCTCCTGCCCTTCATCCCAGCCGGCAGTGCAGAGTAAGAAGCGAGACTTACAAATAAATCTTTCTAGGTCTGGTTTTCATTTTCATGCAATATAATAAACAGAACAGCCACTCATATCAAGCACATTCAAATACTCCCTGACAAACTGAGGATCACCTGTGTTTTGTGGATCCTTCTTTGGGAAGGAAGCAGAATTACAGCAGTGGTGCCTCCACAGATACACAGCAAAGTTCTTGAGCTGCTCTATAACTGCACACACTCGAGGAGCATCGTCAGACACCTGCTCTGCATGCGGAGAGGGAGGAGAGGCCCCTCATCCCTCCTGTCAGTGTGGGGTGCCCAGTGATGCCCATGGAAGAGGGAGGAGAGGCCCCGTGTCTCTCCTGTCAGTGTGGGGTGCCCAATGGTGTCCAGCTCCTGCATCGTTCAGATTTAGGGCCCTGGGTGAGCAGCCCTCTCCATGTCTGGTGGCCTTTGTCCCTGGTATCAGACCACTGAACACATCCTGGGACTTGCGAAGGTCTCAGTGACTCCTCCTTTCCAACCGGCACTGACAGCGATCTCACCTGCTAGCGTATTCTCGCGCAACACTTGTGTCCTGAGGTTGCGAAGGGCTTGGGTTATACCTATATGGAGAGGGGTAGCGGGAAACTTTCTTGGCCAGAGAAAATGGGAGAAATGCTGGATTAGACACAGCAAGGGCATCTGTTTGACAGACCAGACTTCCAAGCCATCGATGGATTAGTGGCAGCTCTTGTCACATTTAATCGGGTAACAGTGTGGCAACTCCCACCTCCCATCACAGGGCTTTGTGCCCCGGCCCGGCATGGAGACTGCTGAGGGCGTGGCGAGGCCAGCTGGCACTGGCCATGCCACACCCCCTCGGCCCCCGATTCCCAGTCACTACTCTGCTGTCAAACGGGACTCAGCCGGAGCAGGACGAGGAGGTGCAGCCCTGAGGGCCGGGGTCCGCTGCTGTGCGGGTGCACTGCCACCTCAGTTCTGTGCTAGCTCCCACAAACCAGCTTGGGGGCACTGCTCACAGCGTGAGCCCCTGGCTAAGGAAATGTAAAGATGTTTAAAGTGCTCTTCAATTACACAGGATTTGGTCCTTTGTTAAGTCAAAAAATCCTAAGTCAAATCATCCTTCTTTTTTCAAAGAGAGATTGTTTGCTATCAGGCGTGTGTGCTCGATGGAGAGACACAGAGATGGAAAGCCAGAAATCACCCCCCAGGGGAGAGGCGATGTGTGGTTCCTTCTGCATGTTCCTCCTGGGATCGCGGGCATCCGCACATGTGCCCAGTGTGAGTTTTAAGCCGGGTCTGGGATGTGAACTGTAGCCAAGTACATGGGAGTCCGGCAGCGTAACCATCACACCTCTGCTGATTACATCACCTCAGCGTGGGGCCTCTCTGTACTTTTCTCCCAGGCCTACCAAACACAGCAAGACAGTTGTCCTTTTTGAATTTCCCGACATGCCGTTTCTCACCTGGGATGAGTTTCCTTGACTTTTTGCTCCTGTCTCCCTCATAGTATTTTGCTGGGGTCTCCCCACGGCTGGGGGTTTCTGCTCAAGTGCCGTGGAAGGACATGGAGGAAGTTCCCAACAAGCACAAGTCAATCTAGCTTGAAATTCCTAATGACTTTCTCACCTAAAAAGGAAACGATATCTAAATGCTGGCCTTTCATCAGAGTGTTGCAAACCAGCTGAATTCGCTGCAGTACGAGCATGTTAACACAATTTGTTTGGAATTAACTGTGGGAAAGAGGACTTTCTACAGAAAATTGAGCCAAGTTAAACAGAGAAGGGAAAAATACTGTTATTCCCTTTATTCCAAGTCTGGCTTGAAGGGCTGGTTATGTGGGAAGGGTGCCCCAGGGTCAGATACCCAAGACCCGTGGGATTTGGCTTCTTGACAAATACCTAAATATAACTTATGGCTTCAAGCAGTTTTTCATATCTTGTTTCATTAATTTGGACATTCTGATAGAGATTATTATCAAAACCCAAAGGAAGTAGTTTATTTTTTCTTACAAGTGGTTTAGATATTTACGAAGTAAACAAAAAGTTAACATTGTTATGTATTTCTGCATGAACATTTGTGTGGTTTTGGAGACAGCATATTTTTAGCTGAAATGTAACATGCCCATTACACATTTAGCTCTCACTGCATACATGTGCAATGTCACATCTTTGAAACTTCAGAGAAAATTCTTTCATTATTTTTTTTCTAATTTTCAGAGGGCACATGCACTCACCAGAGAGAAAGAGACAGGGAGAAGAGGGGGAGGGGGGGAATCGCCAAGCCCCCTCTCCATTTGCAGCCCTCTGGGATTTGGGTCTTGGATGTACATGCACCCAGTGTGTTTTCCAAGCTACTGGGACCAGAACTTGAACTACAGCGGCCCTGTGGGTCTGGCTCCCGTGACCACTGCCCACGACCTCTCTCATCAGCTGAGATGTGACCCTCCATCCATGGGCTCTGGCGTGATGATAGGAAATCGAGCTAGAATGCAATCAGTAATGTAAGTTATGGAAACCTAGCTGGAAAGTAATCACTCTAGCTCGAACCAGAGTGGGGCCGATGCATTATCGCTGTTATTATAATGGATGCTTACACCAAAACAGCTGTCTGGGGTCACCATGTGCCATGCTACCGTACTTTAGCACAGCTGTGGCCCAGTGTGCATGCTGCTCTATGGCGCTCCGTGTTCATCTGGGCAGGTAGCGTGGCGTCACGGCGTGTAGGTGCTTCCCGTGGACCGATGATCCAACCGGACAGTGCTTCCCTCCCAGGAATCGCAGCACTGTTATTTCCATTAAGCTTTATGTTCTTTTGGTTGCAATTTTTAGACTTGAAAGACATTCCTTAAACCTACTTGAGACACAAAACATGTTTTCATTTCTTTTGGCCAACCCAGTGAACGGCTGCCCTGATTTCAATCTGTTTTGAATTAATTGTCCTTCTGACCACGAGCTAATAATTTTCCCCATAGCCTAGTCACCCAACTTCAGAAAGTTCAAAATGTTTTTTAAAGATAGATGTGGTTTTCTTTTTTTTTCTTTTTCTCCTTCTTTCTCCCCTTGGTAAGCAAGGAGTGCCATCGTTATCTGTCTTCAGATAATAAGCAAACAGAGCATGGAATTAAGACCTGACTTTAAGTCCACATTTAGTGGGAATGAACAGGTCCTACAAATTTCTTTACTAAAATATTTTCTTTCAAATTTCATTTAGCCACTGCTCTGGAAAAGCGGTGAAATGAGCGGCCTTTCCTATTAAGTGCTAACCCCCAGTGCAGTTTCCGGCAGTTCATTGCCTGGATACGTTAGGACAGTTCTCAAATAGTTAATCACTTAGAAAATGTGGACATTTAAAATTTTATTTGGGTGGAGGAAATGAACAAGCATTGAATTTGACAGTCAACTGTCTAGAATCAGTTCCTTTATTATCAAATAAAAAAATTAGAGATATTGGAACTGTTTTCACTATGAATGTTCTAAATGTAGATTTCTGATCCTTCAGAGTTCTGAAACCTATGAGCGAATACAAAGACGGTTTCTTCCTGAGCTGATTTCCATCAGTCGTTTACTCCATGACGTGACCCAAAGGACAGTGGACACTGGCCTGGGCATTTTCTGCCCACTCCTCGCGATTAGAAGACACAACTTCAATATTAGAAACCAGCTGTGGAGAAGTGTGTTGGACAAAACATCACCGTCTCTAACGGTCTGTTTGGAGTTTCTGTGTGCGTGGGTGGGCCTCAACCTTCGCATGGTGTGTGCCTCTCCAGGGTGGCAAGTGCAAGGTGACAGGAAGACTGGGAAGGTGACAAGAAAAGGCAGGTGGGAAGCAGGAGGGCAGGGTTCACACTAAGACGGCAAAGTGTAGGAAGCACAGAAAGGACAGGAGGAGGTGTATGTTCCGTGAAGACAAGGGAGAGACAGACAGACACGTGAGTGAGAGCGGAGAGACCAGGGAGGAAGAGGTGGCAGTCAGGGAACTGGTCCTGGCCAGCAGGTGTTTGGTCAGTGCAGCTGTCACTGGAGACTGTAGGCATGTCCTCTCCTGGGAGTGCTGGCCTTTGCTACTCAGACAGAGAGAAAAGAAGCCTGGGAGCCTGCTCTGGTTCAAATGCTCATCCCTTCAAAAGTCAGGCAGGAGTGTAGCAGGTGGCATGGTGTTTACAGAGCTGGACTCCCACATAGCCAACTGAGGTTCAAATCCCAGACCTGGCGACTTGAAAATCATACTGGGTACCTGTGCGTGTGTGCCTGAAATCCCAAGAGGAGAACGGGGATAGTGTGGCCATACCCACTGTGGAGTGATTTCTCACTTTCTTTCTTTGTTTCTCTCCACCAAGTTATGACAAAAACAACATCAAAGAGTTCAGGGTGGAGGTAGTTGATTGCAATAGCGTTAAGTGGTTGTTAGGTCCCAAGGCTCTGCCCTAGGCTGGAGTAATGCTACCCTTAGTAAGGGGACTCCTGTCTTTGCCTTTCTGCAGTGTGACTCCCACCTCTGCTGCACACTAAGAAGGCCTCACCAGAGGCCGGTGCCTAGTCGTAGGCTTCCTCACCTCAAGAACTGCTTTGTTCTCTCAAATCACCTGACCTCAGGCACTCTGCTGTAGAAGCAGGAAGCAGACAAAGCAGACCTGTCCGTCATCACTGTTCTGAGCGTCCAAGTGTGTAATGGGACTGAGTCTCTGTCCCGAGCACTGTGGGTCTGACACTGACCAGCAATATGGGCCTACGCCGCACAGTACTCACCAGGCAGTCCTTCCCACTGTCCTTCTCAGCTGGGGACAGCGACTCCCCATGGCTAGGGAGAAGCGGGGACTGAGAGCTGGGCCTTTGACATCCTATCATGAAAAGAGAAGAGAGGCAGTGATGGCAGTGAGCAGCAAATTCAGCCAACTCTGTTTGAATTATGTTTTTACTGTGACTTGGGGTAGTTTATTTTATTTATTATTAGTTGTATTTTAATTTGCTACAGGGCATGTGTGCTCACCAGAGAGAGACAGAAAAAGAGAGAGGGGAAATGAGAAAGCAAGCCGCCAAGTCCAGGACTTGAACCATGGCTGGCCATATGGGAGTCCAGTGCCTTAACCACCACACCACCTGATGGTCCTCATAATTACCTTTAAATCATTTATCAATAAATAACTTAAAACTATTATTAACATTTGTAGTTTCTAGAGTGGCATGTTATTGGCATTGTAATGTCTAGAAAAGCTACCTCGACATTTAGGAATTGCTCTAATAAGATCTTAAATCATCAATTTTGGTAAGTTCCTGTCTTTCTTGTATGATAGACTCAACCCTAACCAGGCGTAGTTCAAATGGAAGACTTTCAGACTCTGGCTTAAGAGGATAGCAGCTGTCATTTATCTACAACCATGAACTTCAGTACTGGCAAAATGAAAAGAAGAAGCATTTTTGTGTAGTTTTATTTTCTGATAAGGATTAACAAAAGTTTTCTCATAGCAATTAGTTCTTATTGGGGAAAAATAAGACTAATGACATTACATGTCATTACATGTAATGTAATGTAATGTAATTACATCGCACAAGGTTTTAAAGATAAATAAGTCTTTAGCAAATAATTCATTATAAAACTAAACAACAAGAATATCTAAAAACACAGAGAAACAACAGCAGCTGAGCCGAGACTGGTCTGTGCTCAGTGTCCTCCCTGCAGAGACACCCCCAGACCAACCCACCTGAGTGCAGAGAGCTTCCCGGACCCACAGTCACCCAGCAGCAGGAACGTCTCACAGGGACTCTCAAAAATACCAGAAGGAGATTTACCTAGCTTTATAAATACTCTGAAAATAATTTCATATTCTGAAATTATTTTCAAATGACCTTTAACTGACGAGTTAAATTCGCCAGACCAAGACCGGCGTTTTCTCTTGTCTCTCCTACAGTTGCTACAGCTGCTGGCCGGGTCTGTCCTGGCTGTCGTCCACATCTTCGCGACCCCTCCATGTGCCAAGGCTCCTCAGAGCAGTCGCTCTCTTTGTGTGGTGAACAGCTTCCAAGGGCCCAGAGGCAGGGCCCATCTGAAGGCTGGAAATGGTCTGACGACGCATTCTCTGTGCAGTCGAGTGGATGCATCGGGAACCCTGAGCAGTGTTAAAAAGGTAGAATCGACTTCATTACGGGAAAGGCCTAAGCCAGAACAAAAAAGGACAAGGCAGGTTTAAAACTGCTGTGTGTCGTAGCCAGGAATTAAGTTCAAGGAGTAAAGGTTAGGGACGGAGGTGGACAGGCCGGCGGGGAGGACTCTCGAGGTCAGTAACTTTGTAAGAAAGGCAACTGCATAAAAAACTGTGTGCTGCGGATGAGGCCACTGGCCCCTTTGTGCAGCCTTCCTCTGCTGTTTGGTACCGACATCTGAACTTATCCATTCAGACACTGTATCTTAGCAAGACTTCGAGAGTGAACTTTGTTGGCAAAGAAACTGGCTTTTCCCAGTCAGTAGGAAGGTAACATGTTACTTATAAAATGTCGCCCATTACTGAAACAGCAAAGCAAAATACATGACTCCCATCTTTGCTACAGATAAACTCGCACGAGATAACTGGGAGTCTGGGAACAGCCAAGCCTTGTGAATCAGCACAAGTCAGGTCTGGAAATTGTTGAGCAGCTGGAATGACCCGCCGAGCAGCCACGTGGGCTCCTTAACATCACCTGCTACACAGGATGCTGTCTCTCACCTACACAATTCCATCATGGTGTGTATTTTATTGTTGTTATTTTCAGCAAAAATTAGCATAACATAAAATTTATTCTCCATCAGCTTTCATAATGTATGTTCTGAAGGCTGTTCTTAAGGCCCACCGAGACGTGAAATCCTTCCGAATCATCAGAGAGGAATTCATTCAGTATAATTTCAGGAAATTATTTGTGGAGTTTAATAATTTGAGAAAAAGCATATTCATATATAAAGCATTTTTTTCTGAGTCTGACACATTAGAATTCCTGGTGGAGGAAATTTTTTTTAAAAAAGAGAATCTCTCCCTAAAAACTTTGATATAGTGGTTCATGGGGAGAGAAGAGGGATTCGAATTAAATAAACAAACAAACAAAAAAATGCAAAACTCTTTTTAATTGCCAGTGTGCATGTGTGCTCTCCAGAGAGAGAGATGGGGAGGGGCGTTGGAAAAAGCTCCCCATGGTTTGGTCACACTGCACTCTCTCCTCCACTTCTCCAATCTGTCGGGATTTGGCGCACGTGTGTTTTTCAAGGTAGAGCCTGGATTTGAGCTGGTAGGCTATGGGGACCAGGCTCTGTCTACATGGGCGTGACTGCCATCTCCAGGGCTGCCCCGGTCTGGACGACCACAAGCGTCCCAGTCAGGCTCTGTCTACATGGGCGTCACTGCCATCTCCAGGACTGCCCCGGTCTGGACGACCACAAGCGTCCCAAGGGTTGCTTGGTCAGGCCATTGGGAAGCACCCATGTAGACAGGCATGTCTGTTACCACGGACGGCCATACTGGAACACATGTTGCTGTTCTCCTCCCATATTGCTGAGACAGTTGTGCCCAGCTGCGACCCAGTGGGTGGGCTGGCCAGTGGCCTCCCTGCGTGAGCCGCATCTTCCAGGGGCAGGAAATGCACCCTGTGCTGCCAGTCGCTCTTGGAAGTGCAGAAGTTGCAGAAGAAAACTCCACAGGGACTGACCGCCAATGGGGAGGGCAGGTTCAGCACTCAGGCAGCTCAGAGGAAGCTTATGGGCACTCATGTGGCACACAGACAGAACGTCTGGAGGCTGAGCATAAGCCCTCTTCTTCATACGTAAGTTACCTCTCTATTCACCAGGGACGTGCCCTTCTGAGAGGCAGGCTCAGCAAATGCGCAGCGATGACACCTGGCCCTCGGCAGATGCAGTGGATGGCCACAGAGCACGGACGCTGCACATGCTGGGCAGCGGTGGCTGGGCCTCTGACTGGACACGAAAACAAGAGGAAGGAAAAGCAAGTTTACAAAATCGTGCCATTTCACCCCATCATTTTACAATGAAATGAAACAATTAAATACATACCAGTATGGGCAGGGAGAAATAAGCAGTGGAAGGGCATATGCCAGAATGCTAGTCCCCAGAATAGTCTTTCTGATTCTAAAGCCAATGGTAATTTTAGTTTTATTCTCCTATTTTTTTGTGTGCATTTTAAAACTTTTTAACAATTAAAACTCATTGTATTTATAATAAAAATTGTTAAAACTTATGCTGAAGGGGTCACAGGTACCATGGTGGTTGAGACACTGGACTCTCACATGGCCAACTGTGGTTTGAGTCCTGGACCTGGTGGTTTGTTTTCTCACATTCTTTCTCTCTCTCACATTCTCCCTGTCCTCTGTCTCTGGTGAATGTACATGCCCTATAGTAAATTTAAAAATATACAATGATAATAAATCAAATCAAATAAATAAATCTTAAAAGAAAACTCCTGTAAAAGAAAACCACATTGTTTTTCCTGAAATATTACTGAGAATAGGGTTTTATGACTCGCTTTTCAATTCATCCTTTAAATTGCAGCTTGGAAATTTTGTCTGATATTTGTGCATCAATCTAAGTGGAAAATATATTCACCAAAAAGGCAACTGTAGGAAGTTCCGATTGAAGAGTGTTTCTCATAAGCTGACATTAATAATATGCTGTCAATTCTATATTTATGTACCCTCGACTCACTTGGGAATTTTTACCTTGATGAAATAATTCAATCTTTGATGTGAAAAGAAAACTGGGAACAGTGCTCTGAAGAGGTAATTTAACAAAAGCATTAAGGAAAAGGCTATGCATATAATAACCTCATAGATAAGTGCTTTTTTTAAACTCCGAACTACTTGCCTTTCAAAGTAAAATGTCCTTTTTGACATTGTTGTTTAAGAAAAAATTATGCACAGGTGCAGTTCACTGGATTCTGGTGTAGCTGTGTCTAGTCAACGGACAGGGGGGACCATTGGTAAGTATGGATTTTCTCAAAGGTTCTGTACAAAAGTAATTATGTTTACTTTATGTGCTGCACTTAGATGACACTAAAGATCACTTTTTTTAGAGAGAGAGAGTGAGGTTTCTTTTTTCTATAGGATGTGTGCACTTGCTGGAGAGACAGAGAGACAGAAAATGAGAAATCACTCCCCTGAGGAATGACCACACCACAATCCCTTCTCCCCTATTCTCCACCCAGGATCTTGGGCATGTTCACACGTGCACCCAGCATGAGTTTAAAGCTGCTGGGTCCGGGACTCAAACCGTGGTTGTCCATGTAGGAGCCCAGCTAGGACAGTCATCAACCTTAGAAAACTTATAACAGACCAGTAATAGAATTAGTAGATATAGTTTGTAGCTTTGTTTTATACATTGGAGAAGGTGGGAGAAACAAAGCAATCTAAAAGATTAAGAAAAATTAAATTCAAATTTTAGAGATTAAAACAAATAGTGTGTGAAATCCTGCACTGAGAGGGATGAACAGCAGGTTAGACGTGGCAGGTTCGTTATGAAGCTTTTGCTGCAAGTTATGCCATTATAGGCAGACTGCGGTAAGTTAAGAATGTACAATAAACATTATGGATTAGTGGTAAACAGACAAGTGGAAACTATTTCAGGCCTCAGACCACATAGCGTCTGTTACGAGGAGTCAGCGCTGCCGTAGTAACGAGGCAGCAAACACAGTGCGTAAGTAGGTGAGCGTGTTGTGTCCACTGGACCTTGATTTACAGACCGGAGAGTGAGATGGATTAGGCACAAGGGCTGCAAGTTGCTACATCCTGAATACACACCCTAAGGCACTTGCCCAAAAGAAAGAACGTAAGAGTTATAATCAAGATGCAAACGAGAGATATATTGTAAAACAAAACTGCAATAATAGTAAAGCTGATTTAGCCAATGGAATGTAGAAAAGGAGGGAAGGGGGGACGAAGGACAAATGTGACAGGGAAGCCAAACGGTAAGACAATGCATTTAAGCCATGTACATAAACCACCACATTAAACATGAATGACCCAGAAATCTGAATTTAAAGGCAAAGACTTTCAGATAGCATATGAAAGAAATATTCAACCAAATAACACACACAAGAGCTCCCGTAATAATATGAAGACACAAATACATGCAGATGAGATGAAAAAATGCACACTACACCTGCCCTCACCCAAAGAACACAGGAAGCAAACACTTCAGGGAGAATTTTGCCAGAGATAAACGACTTCATTTTATAATAAAAAATGTGTCGATTCCTCAAAAGTATAATGGTCTTAAATGTTTATCCTCTTAATACTATTGTATCAAAAAACTTAAAACAAAACTTGATAGAACTGAACAGAGACATAAAGATAGCTATGATTTTAATCAGATATAGAAACATCCCTTCTCAATCAATGATTGCACAAGAGGGCAGACCATCAGTAAGGACAGAGGGTGGGGCAGCACCGTGAGCGACCCCACCCACCAGACCCTGACCAGCAAGAGCAGAGTGTGCGTCTGTCCAGTGCACATGGAGCATTTGCCGGCACGAGAAATTCCCAGCCATGAAACAGCACCAGCAGATGCTAACAAGTCTACCCATGTGAAGCACATAGAATCAATGGCAGAAACATGTCTGAGATTTCTCCAAGCATTGGACATATTCCAAATAGGCAATTGCTAAAGAATAAATCAAGGAGAATTTAAAAATATTTTAAACTGATTGTAAAAGGAAAGCATATCATGATGTGTGGAACACAGCCCCTTCCCCAAAATAATGCTTAGAGGGAAATTTACAGCATAGAATGTATATTTTGAGATAAAAAGGACATTTCAAGTAAGTTACCACAGTTTCTACCCAATCTAAGTAGAAAAAAAAATTAAAAAAAAAAAAAAAGGCGCTCAGAGGAAATAGTACAGGTTAAAACAAAAAACAAAATCCATGGCTTAGACAACTGAGAAACAAGAGAGAAAAATCAATGAAATCGATAGCTTGTTCTTTGAGAACATCAGTAAAATTAATATGCTTTTCGCCTCTGATCAGAGAAACCAAAGCATGAATCGCAGTGCGAGGAACAAGCAGCAATGGGAGCCCAGCGCCGAGGTGACTCCGCTGTGCCGCCTCCTGAAGGTGCCTGCACCCCCAGAGAAAACCATTATAACCACACAGGCCAGGTCTCCATGTCAGACGAGTTTCTTGACAACTTTAGTCAACACTAGTCTGCTAGTGTTCGAATTTGGTGAGCTTGAAGGCAGCATCCATTTTGAGAACCTCTTCAAAACCATATAGGCATATTTGGTACTGAAATAGATACGGATGGATGTACAGAACCCTAGAGTAACAAACAACTTTTGAGGAAAAAGCTGTTATAAAAGATGCCCACATGCTTACATTTACACCAACACTCATGCCTTTAGCAGGGTTGTGTAGACATTTCATATGGTCTTCTACATTTTCAAAGCTGTGTTTATAGCTCTTACAACAAGCAGTTTGGAGAAATAGAGCCCTACCTGTACAGCAGTCCGTGATATGAAACGGACCCCTTTTACTTTCGTGATTACTGTCATTCCGAAATTACAGGCTTTCACTAGGGATGTGGGAGAAGTGGCGAACACTGAACTCCTGCGACGCAAACCTTTGTAGAATGAATTACTGCCTTTCTTCCATTAGCCTGGGCGAGGATTCTGAACATGGTTGTCAGGACACCCAGGCGCGACAAGTCATCAGATACTGTTCTAAATCAAGGGACCATGGAGACAGAATGTGTGTGTTAGTTTTTATAGCTTATCTCCTTTTTAAGCTCTGGAAACAGACCTGCTTTCTGCCTCTAAATAGCCGTCACCAGATGGGTTCTTATGTAAGGATGTGAATAATAGGCAATGCCCTTTTAAAGGAAGGTACAAGATTATATTTTTGTGACCTATAGTTCTTTCTCATAAACTTTTAATTTAACATATTAGGACAAAAAAAATGCTGGTGTTCAAAAACTTTTACCTATCCCAGGCCAGGACCGCTGGGTCTCTGGGCTCGCTGGGTCTCAGGGCCCGCTGGGTCTCTGGGCTTGTGTGCAAGCGACCCTGTTCTGAGTCCCTGGCAGAGTCAGCCTGGCCTCAGCGGTTCTGGATGACTGGAGGCCTTGGATGTGTTGTATGGAGGTGTAAGTTCTGGTTCAGTTCCTGATGCACGTTTTCAAGACATTTAGTTTCCCTAATATTTGTTTAAAATAATTTCTCGTTCGAGCTCTTATTCTGTTAGGACTTAAGAAGTATACCTTCAGAAGAATTTCCTCTTTGATTTCCCTGGCTGGGAAGAGGCACAGTAAGGCAGGCAGGTTCCACGTGGCCGACTACACGGCTAAGCCCTGGGCCTGGCAGCTTGGAAAGCACACAGGCATGCCTGAAATCTCCAGAGGAGAACAGGAGAAAGGATTGAGTGTGGTCACACGCTGGGGATGATTCCTCTCTTTCTCTCTCTGGCAAGTGCACATGCCCTGTGGCAATAAATAAGTAAATAAATACAAAGCAAAGCCTTAACAAGATGCGTTTTGGAGAACCTGCTCATGGAGTCAGTCAGTCCGTTCCAGTGCGTGTTTTCTGAGGGTTAGCAGAAGGGTCCCGGTTGAGGATTTCTGTAAGCCACGCAGAAGGTGCATGTGGGGCATCGCACTGCTTAGGAGGAACCTCCCGCGACACCCCATGCCATGACCCTCTACTTGCAGGGAGACTCTCCCCTTCGAGTCACACGGCAGTGACGCCACCACAGCTGCCCACGTGGGCTCGTTCCAGGGCAGCCTTTCTCTGGTGCAGCTCTTCCAGTCCCTGGTCCTGCACCCCTTCCACTCCGCATCCTCAGCCAGAGCAGCTAGCAGCCGGGCTCTGTGTCTCACCATCGCTGACGAGCAGGTGCGTTCTCCTCGGCCTTGGCGGACAGCGGAGGAGCAGAGTGCTGCTTGCACATTGCTGCCTTTGTGTCTCGTAAACTTGGATCCGGAAGACGTGCCTCACACAAACACGCGCTTGGAAGAGGCTGACGAGAATGTCTCACCGGAGCAAGCAGCTGGACTCTCTCACGGCAGAAACGTGGCTTCTATTACAAATGAGCCAGCCTTCGGGGGGGATTTTCCACGGATATGAACCAAATTACTTCATGTTACCAGTAAGCACAATTACATAAAGT